CTCTCTCTCTCTCTCTCTCTCTCTCTCTCTCTCTCTCTCTCTCTCTCTCTCTCTCTCTCTCTCTCTCTCTCTCTCTCTCTCTCTCTCCCGTTGTCGGTCTCCATGCTGTGTCTGGTTATCCACTGTTCCTAGCATGAACCGTTTCGTTCCAAGACCACCACAGTTTTTTGTTTGTTGTTTCCTTGCTCTTGGCTATGGTTTGCACCATGAATCTTTTCTCAGGAGGGCAGTGGTTTTGAAAAAAAAAATGAAAAAAAAAGGGGGACTGGATGGAATGCCTGAATCAGGGTGTGTTCGTGGAGAGGGGCAGAAAATGGATATTGATGCCTTTCTGCATGTCAGCCTAAAACACATCCACATTCAGCCTCTTAATCCAATCTTTGCTAGTGGGACTTTGCCCTAGAGGATGGTCATGCATGGGCGAGCTTGAGGTGGGGGAGGACAAGAAGAGGTGGAAATCGAGGACGATGATAGGGACAAGGTGAGGGTAGAGAAGGAAGAGGAGAGGTGGGGGTAGTTGGGAGGGCGAATGCACCTGCCTTCTCGGCGTTCTCGCGACTGCCAGTGACGAGCAGCAACACCTACCTTCTCACAACTGCCCGTGCTGCACACTCAGCATAGTGCGACATGCAGCGACGTGCAGCACACAACGTCGAAGAGCGTCGAGCCAAGCGGGTAGCTACCATCGTTTTCCCTCCAACATAAGGGACCCTAATAATGAATGTATGCAGGCTGTGTTTACGACCACACGCAGAACACAATGGACCCTCATAATGAATGTATGCAAGGTATGTTTCCGGCCACGAACAGCCATAATAAGGGTCCGTTGTGTTTGGGGGAAGACAGTGGCAGCCCGTGGGACGTTGGGAGCCAAACTCGATACACTGCAAATATTTTCCACAACGGCGCAGTTTGCCGCCCTTTTGCTTGTAGCCGCTATGTAGCGTGGGAGGAAGAATGAAAAATAAGGGTCGGTACCCCTACACATATGTGTATAGGTGCAGACCCCTATATGCATATATGCATATCTTTTGACGGGTGACCCGTGCCCGATCTAGACCCGCCCACACNATGAAAAATAAGGGTCGTTACCCCTACACATATGTGTATAGGTGCAGACCCCTATATGCATATATGCATATCTTTTGACGGGTGACCCGTGCCCGGTCTAGACCCGCCCACACCTACTCGTTTTTTTTTTATCGGGGCAAGACACCCACAACTGGCCCGTTCCTTTTCCCGACAACTACCCCCAGCCCAACTATGGGCCATCCTCCCATCCCCTAGCCACACCTGGCCGGGTGGGACATCAGGCTAGCCAGACCTGCCCACAGCTGTCGGGTCCAGCTGGGGGCAGCTGGGTGCGGCTACGGCCAGCCTTTTGCAGGCTCTGGTAAGTATGTTGTCTTTGTAGCATTGCCAGCGGAAGTCGGAACAAAATTGGTAATCCGGGAATTTTTTAACCACTGGGTGAAAGATTATGGACATCCCCTAACGATTGTAAGTGACAGAGATTCGCGGTTCACGAGTGAACAATGACAGCAACTGATGAACGTTTATGACTCTAAGTTGACTATGTTATCAGGTCGACACCCTGAGACAAATGGCCAAAATGAGCAAATGAACAAGATTTTGCAGCAAACGTTGCTTATGTACATAGTACATACGTCCCGACCAGATTGACTAGGACGAGCATTTGCCCAAAGTTGCTAGTGCTTATAATAACTCTGTTCACCTAGCTACGTGCAAGACTCCAATGGAGTTGCATTTGGGATGGCGTCCACGCAGACCTATCGATCGCCTGAACCCGGATCCAGTATATAAGCTTCCACTAGGAACAAGTGAATTTGTAATACAATATCAGAAAGATAGTGAGAAAGTAAAAGAGAATATAATAAAGGCACAACATCAAATGATAGAACATGCGAATAAGCATAGAAACCCTTCTCAGTTTGCTGTAGGTGATCTGGTATGGGTTAAGTCTAAAGAGTTCGTTCCCGAAGAGAACATTTCCCAAAAATTGCTACCAGCCTACAGAGGGCCTTGGCAGGTTCTAGATGTGATTGGAGATGTGGATGGACCTTCTTACGTGGTTGAGATTCCTCTGCATTTACATGCGTATCCAATATTTCACGCCTCAAAGTTCTTACCTTGCGTGACGAATGAGTTGTTTCCCAGTCGAAGATCGGCGATTCCTCCTAGTATGGATGGGAAATATGATGTAGACAAGATTGTCGCTGAAAGTACTCTTCAAACTGGACGTAGAGGCAGACCCCAGCGACAATATAAAGTAAGATTTGCATATCAGGACCCAAGTGAAGATCGCTGGTTCACAAGAGAAGAATTGATTGAGTCTCCACCTCATATTGTATCTGCTTATGAAAGAGCCAGAAGAGGAATAAGCATCATAGATAGATGAAGGTTTTCTCAGAGGACTTCAAAACTAGGTCGGCGAGAGTAAAAGGCCCTTTACCCGTTCAGACCCTGAATGACGAACGCATCATAATGGGACCCACTTGGCCAGAACTCAATTCGTGAAAAGCAGATTAAAAGACATGTTCTCTGGGTCAAAAGTCACATCCTAACTGGAAGTAAGGAGCTGTGTCAAAGGTCACAGTCGTGCCCCAGGACGAACAGTTGCAACATTCAATTGTGAGAGTCACGTTTGTTCAGGGGGCTGTGCAAATCATGTCTGTTCGTGGAGTAGATGTGTCTGTTCGTGCAGAAGTTGTGTCTGTTCGAATGGAAGTCGGTGAGGTAGAGTCCCAGTCCAAGTCAAAGTCCAATAGGCAGTCCAGATTCAGACCCAAAGTCCAAAAATCTGGCCTAAAGGCCGCCGCAGCAGCAGACCCTGAAGGAAAAATTCGGGAAAGACCCAAGGAAGATTGATTCAGACCTCGTGAAGGGAGGCCAGCACTATAAGAGACTAGGCCAGCCTCCCCACACGACAGATCTCCACTGGCATCGACGCGTGGAAGTGCTGAAGCACTTGTGCGCTAGCATGCAGGGAGAATGCGCTGGCTGGAAGCTGCGCAAGCAGGAGAAGAAGAGGTTGGGCGCTGACTGGCAGAAGCAGCCATAGTTGTGCCAGCATTATTAGTAGAAGTAGTAGGGTTCGTGGTAGACATCAGTGAGTAGCATTCAGAGTAGATCCTCATAAGTAGGGAGTGAGCATGCAAAGTGAGACAAGGGAACCAAGACAGGGATCTCGTGAGAGAGAGGGAGAGAAGACAGGTTAAGGAGTTGGATATGGTGGATACTTACCTGTTAGCGCCATACTGGTGATCTGAGGGCAGACGCTGGCTGAGCCAGGCCCTACATCGAGTATGGAACGAAGGAGACTTGTACTCTCTTGGTGCTGAACTGTTGGACTCGAGATACTCTTTGTATAATGTTGTTGTGATAATATGAGTTGCGCTATCTGGTTCTCATCTCATCTCGATTTGGCCACGCGTGAAGTTTCTTTATCTGTATGCATGCAATGAGATACACTCCAGCAAGCTATGAACAGTCAGGTTCCTTGCAAAATCCCTCTTGCAGTACCATTTTCCAAACTGCGAATACTCTCATATGAGTAAGTCCGAATACTGGTTATTTCTTTTCGGAAGTTTGCTTATTCGCAGTTCAATGATTTTCACTACCTGATAATCATTGGCAGTCTGAAGTTCGAATTTTTTTTCTCATTGATAATTTCGCACTTCAAGGGAGGTTGGGAGACCTACTGAACTTGCAAAACTCGGGATTTGGATTTTCTCGATTTTTTTTTTTGCAAAGTTCAAACTTTTCTTTTTGATTAGTGGCTCCCTATCTGGGTGATTTATCCCCACCCACCCCTCCCCACCTATGTTGTTGCCCCCTCTCGCCTTACGTTCTCTATCTGTCTTCGGGTACCCCCTGCAGCAGCATTGGTAAGTTGCCACATCAGCAGACCACGTCAGCAGGGCCCCGGCCTGGTCTATGCTTTTGCGCTCGCAAACAGCCGTCATGGACCAGAAGTCCGGGGACACGGACGAGGCCTATCAAGTCCGAATGCTGCTTCTGATTACTGAAGCCAAGCAACAGTCGGATGCAGTAGCATCCACAACAAAGAAGAAGGCAGAGGACGCCGAGAAGGCACGTCTGTTGGCTATTGAACAGCAGCACCAGCAAGACAAGGCAGCAGCAAAGGCTGCCGATGAAGAACGACTTCAACGACGCGAGAAGATATTCAGCGCAGAGCGAGCTTTGCTCACAATGGCAGCGGACTGGCGGACCGAGGTGAGAATGGGAAGCTGGAAGAGAGGGGAAACAAGATCGCTCTACTCCTCTCCCATCTCACGGACCTCCTGGCCACGTGCATTGCACAGTAGGAGGATATTCACAACCTCAACGACGCAGTTCAAACACACAATCAAGTGTTTGACCAACTCACCAACCACCTCCAACAGCTGGAACAAACCGTCGCCGCCCCCATTGCCAGCTCTTCCAACACCTCCGATCGCCTCGAGGCATTGGAGATTGACGTTGGATCCCTCAAGGACGGCGTGCAGTTACAGCAAACTGCAACGCAACAGTTGGAGCAGCGGATCTGTACTACCACCAACCACTCAAGTTCGGGACCACGCGAGACAACTCCAAAGTTCGATAAGCAGGAGATCGTCTGCAACTCGACGAAGACGGACCCGATTCCATGGTTCAGCAAGTTCGAGTTCACATTGCAGCTACACTACGTCAGCGAGCACAAGCATCATGCATACTGATACTCCCGCTCGGGGGGCGCGTGCCAAGCATGGTTGGACAATCTCCTGTCCAAGTATGGAGTGGTGGCTGCCGACTTGCATACCAAGATCAGCTGGGGGGATCTAAAGGCGGCGTGGCATAAGCGGTTCTAAGTAGAGCCGTCGGAGATCAAGGCAATGGACAAGTTGATGGTCTTCGAACAAGGCACGCTACCGAGTGTTGATTGGATTGTCGAGTACCAACGCTTGACATCTGTCCCAGACATCCAATGGGCTTCAAAGCCATCAAACACTACTTCATCTCGAGGTCGTGTCCGACGTTGGGCAATGCCTTGACTCACGTCGAGGACACCCTGACAACACCGGTAGAACTATTCGACAAGGCCGCACAGATTGTTGTCACGAACAAGGAGGCCAAGAATCTCTAGTGGTCTGGGCCAGGCCCGAGCAGGGATCAGCATCGGTTGAAAGTGGTCGTGGTCGCGGCGGCAACGCCGACTGTATCTGCCAATGAAGGGGACAGACTCGCAGCCGCCCGGGAAGGTGGCCACCCCGGCAAAGGCGGCAAGGCGAAGACAAACACCGCATCTAGCCCCGGGTCCGACGCAGCAGCTCCAACCCCATGGTCCCATTACGGTCTCTCCGAGCAAGCATACAAGGCACGCACGAGATTTCGCTATTGTTTGTGGTGTAACAGCGATCTCCACGACACAATGGCCTGCCAGTCGAAAGGCAACGGCAAATCGGGAAACTGAGCACCGTTGGGAGTGACTCGGCAACACTCTCAACGCCTTCGGAACCGGTCACTTCGCGGGTGACCGCCGTTCGTTCCGAGGCACATGCGGAAGTCGATAGTCCTCCTCTTCTTTATTCTTTTGAGGACTATGCTTCCCGGCTCGTTCCTACGTTGGGTACTCATGCTCAAGGACAAGACGTGTGTGCCGCATCTTCTCCGTCCGGCAGCGGCGACTTATCGTCTTCAAGTGGTTCTTCACGGGATTCGGCGCGCGAGTTCAACATAGAGGTATTGGACCCGCTCACGTCCGAGGATTTCGCATGGCTTCCTCTCCCGACCACGGGCCGCTTGCCGGAACCGCAATGTGCAACATTATGCGCTCATCTTCACACGTACTTATACTTTTATGCACCACCAACTTCGCCGACGGATGACGAAGTCGCGGTGGGGGACATCCTTGCATATGTTACCAAGGTGGCCCGCGAGTTTCACAATCAGCGGTACAATGACAACAAGCACCACTCCTCTATTTCCGCATCCAAGTTGGGCAAGCGTCCTGAAGCGCTTTGCTGGATAGCGGCGCGTCTCGCAATTTTTTGAGTCAGGCCTTTATGCAAAAGGCTGGCCTTGGTGCACAAGTTCGAAGGAAGGTAAACCCGACGACAATCAAGTTGGCGGACGGAAGGACGCATCAGCTTATCGACCGCTACATCGAGACCGTACTGGTGTATTTCGCACCTCATGCATGCGAACTGGTGACATTTGACATTTTGGACCTGGACCTCGACATTATTTTGGCAATGCCTTGGCTTGCAAGTGCGGATCACACGGTCAACTTCCACTGGCGGACTCTTACCATTCACGACGCCTTCGGCGCTATTCCTCTCCCGCACCCTTCGATTCGGTGCCAAGTGCTGATGGCCAAATCATTCCTCGCTACGTGTGCTTACGAGCAGCCCGACGAAATCGGTCTATGCTTCCTACGGACCGTCACGGTAGCCGACTCTTCACCCACGGACTTGTCTTCGGACCCCCGTGTGGTGCGGTTGCTTGACGAGTTCGCCGACATCTTCGAGTCACCTACCAGTGTGGTGCCGGATCGGCCGATCTCTCACGAGATCATTCTCGATGCCGGTGTCGTGCCGCCGAAAGGTTGCATTTATCGCATGAGCGAGGAGGAGCTTACGGTCCTCCGCGCGCAACTCGATGATTTGTTGGACAAGGGTTGGATCCACCCTAGTAGCTCTTCATACTGAGCGCCAGTTCTCTTCGTATGCAAGAAGAACAAGGATCTACGATTGTGCATCGACTACCGCAAGCTCAACGCGCAAACCGTCAAGAATGCGGGGCCTCTTCCTCGCATCGATGATCTTCTTGAGCGATTGGGTGGCACAAAGTATTTTTCTAAGTTGAATTTGAAGTCGGGATATCATCAAATCTCGATCCGACCGAACGACCGTTACAAATCCGCGTTCAAGATGCGGTATGGGCATTTTGAGTGGGTGGTCATGCCTTTTGGCCTCACCAACGCCCCGGCGACCTTCCAAGCGGCAATGACCAACTTATTTCGTGCGATGTTGGACCGGTTCGTGCTGGTCTACTTAGACGACATTCTCGTCTATAGCCGGTCATTGGAGGATCATCTTGAGCATCTTCGACGAGTGTTGGAGACGCTCTGCCGTGCTAAGTACAAGGCCAACCACGACAAGTGTCAAGAGCTGGAATACTTGGGCCATTTTGTCACACCGGAGGGCATCAGTCCGCTATCAGACAAGATTCAAGCCATCCAAGAGTGGCCGGAGCCGCGGAACATCACGGATGTCCATTCGTTCCTGGGCCTTGCCACTACCAACGTTTTATCAAGGGATACTCGATGATCGCGGCCCACTTGACCAAGCTTCAATGCGAGGATCGACCGTTTGACTTCGGGGAGGATGCGTGGGAATCATTTTTGGCTCTCAAAGGCGCACTATTATCGGCGGAGGTCTTGCGCATATACGACCCAATATTGCCAACGCGCGTCACTACGGATGCGTCCGGCTATGGCATTGGTGCCGTCCTCGAGCAACAGGATGGCGTGGACTGGCACCCGGTCGAGTACTTCAGCAAGAAAGTGCCCGTCGTGCATTCCATTGATGATGCACGCAAGAAGGAGTTCCTCGCCTTCGCCCACGAGCTCAAGCGGTGGCGTCACTTCCTCCTGGGTCGAAGTCGATTCCGATGGGTAATGGACAACCATCCGTCGGTCTTTTACAAGACCCAAGACATCGTCAACAGCACCATCGCTCGATGGATGGCTTTCATCGACCAGTTCGACTTCTTTCCCGATCACATTCCGGGAAAGTCGGACCGTTTTGCGGATGCTCTTTCACGACGTTCGGATCATTGTACCACAGTCTATTCAACCTTCGAGATCGACGACCTGCGGGACAGCTTCATTCACGGCCTACCAAGCCGACCCCGAGTTTCGCGACAAGTACGCGAATTGCTCCTCTCCTAATCCGGCGCCTTCTCACTACCAGATCCAAGAGGGGTACTTGCTTGTCCCCACACGGGGGAAGGACCTTCTTTGCGTACCAAGTGACCCTCACTTCCATACACGTATTCTTGGCGAGTTCCACGATGCTCCCGCCACCGAACACTTTGGAGTCAATCGATTGGCTGACTTTGCGAGCGATTTTGGTGGCCCAGCCTTCTCGGTGACGTCACACGCTATTGCAAGTCATGCGAGGTTTGCCGACGCGGCAAATCCCGCAACCATCGTCCATACGGCGAGTTGCAACCATTACCGGTCCCTTTGTGACGAAGGGAAGCGATTGCCATGGACATTACCGGCCCATTCCCCAAGCACAAGACCGGAATCGATGAGATTCTCACGGTGGTCGACCGACTCACCAAGTTCGCCATGTTATTGCTTTGCCGCTATCATGCCAAGGCACCGGAATTGGCTGAGGTTCTCTACCCCGATTGGATTCAAACCAAGGGTTACCCCAAGGAAATCGTCTGCAACCGCGACACTCGGTTCATGTCCGATTTTTGGTTGGCGCTCATCAAATGATGGGGCTCATCCCTCAAGCCGAGTTTGGCTCGCCACCCCCAAACCGATGGTCAAACGGAGAGGGCGCATCAAACCGCATAGGTCCTTCTTTGCACTTTCATCCGTCCCGACCAAAAGGATTGGGTCGAGCGGCTGCCGGATATCGACTTGGCATACAACTCGTCCATCCATCCGGCTATCGGGATGTCACCCTTTGAGTTCGAGCATGGCTCGTCGGTCAATTCTCCGTTGGACACAATCATCCCACGGGCGGCCGAGAGCGACGACCATCTTCTCTTCGTTCGTCGGATGCAAGAGCTTCTTGTCAAGGCACGCGACCAGATGTCCAAGACGCAGCAACGCACGCGCCAACAGGCCAACCGCCAGCGTTTTCCTTGTCCGTTCCACGCCGGCGACCTCGTATGGGTTTCCGCTGCGGAATTCAGCCTCGAACAAGATCTCTCTCGCAAGCTCCTTCCGAAATGGATGGGGCCCTGGCCGATCGTGGCACCCGCTGGGACGCACCCGAAGGACCTTCATTTATCATTCAGGTGCCCGCCCGCTTGCCCGTCAACCCGGTCTTTCACTGTTCCAAGTTGGCTCTTTACACGCCAGCGGAACTTGATGACTTTCCCGAGCGACAATCGCAAGACCCACCTTTGATGGACGGTTTCCAAGAGGTTGGCGACATCATATCCCTGCGACGTTACGGCAACAGGCCGACTGAATTCTTGATCCATTTTACATATTGCACCCATAGAGCTGA